ACAGTATATGACATGATTGGCTTGTTTTTCCTCCCCCTGGGCTGCACACAAGTTCATCTCTGCTCATTCAAAGCAGTGGATGCAGTTGGTGTGTATGTGAGTGTCCAGTACGATAGGTGGACACTTGTCTACATGCAAGTACCTGTATAAAGAATAGATTTAATTTGATACTCGCATGTAGACAAATGAATGAGTAATAAACAAATACCTCTTATAAGTTGGTTTAAACAGAACAGTTCTGTACTGTCTCAGAACGTTGTTACACAAAATTATATTCTAGGAAACATCCTAGATTATTGGAAGTGATGCCGCCAGTAAAATACAGTGTTACCAAAAACCTGAGACCGTTCTCTTTTGCTACATTAGATATGCTATTTATTGATTTCCATTGAACGACAAATGTCGTGCAGAACAAAGGTAAAAGCCCACCCTGGATCCTCGGCCGGTGACTTCTAAACATCCTCTGATGTTGCGCTGTTCACTCGCTGGGCGATAGGGAGTGACCTTATTGATTGTGTGCCTGATTCGACAACTTCCTCTGGCATCATACTAGAAACCTCCAACAGCATGGAAGCTTGCTAAACCAAGCCGCGCCTCCTCCCTTCATCCTTCACTTCTGGCAGCAGAGGCACCTGAACACGAGGAGTTGTATTGTCCTGCAGCCTTCAGCCCAAATGCCGGATCCTTCCACCCGACCATCATCTGTGCAAACGTGCTGCAAAACATGTCTGAAAGGTCTGAACTTCCACCTGTCAGAAAATAAGCTCTTTACTGTCCCTGTCGTGTTCATACATCTGTTTCAACGTAGTACTCGCAGTTTTGTTTGTGGGAGTCCAGAAAAGCAGGATCCCTCTTGATTTCGCCTGTTGAAAGAAATCAAACGGGTAAATTGAGGATTTTTAGACTAACCTCTTCCTTCAGACAGGAGGCCTGTAACAATCTGAAGATGTTTCAGCATGAAAACCTCCTTCCTCCAGTCTGGGTGAGTTCTGTGCTCCGAAAAAAAATCACCCACCCTTGTTCTTATGAAACAGTTGAAAGAACTCAGGTGTTATTTTCTGAAGAGTCAGCATGTTGGAGGTGTGCAGTTTTCACCAGACACCACTGATGTAAACGTGGTGGGGGGTGAAGGTCTCACTGTGCATCTCTGCAGTGGTGGAGTGGAACTCAGTACAGTGTGGCGGTACAAATCTTTCTGCTTCATAGCCCTGCTTCCCTACATTTCAATTACTGCACTGCTTTTACAGTAACTGACAGTTCTAGAACTGAAATAGTCGATTAGTTGATCAGCTGATTAATCAGCAGCTCTTCTGACAATCCATCAGTGCAGTCACTGAACTGAAAAGAAAGCCAGAGCTTCTCAGGCTGCAGATTCTCTTCTGGCCCCAAATCAGAATTTGAGATTTCTTTATAAACTTTACAACTTTCAGTAAAACAAAACAAGACTTTTGAAGACGTCACCGTGGACCCACAGAAACTGTGGTGAACATTTCTCACTGTTGAGCTGCAGTGACACCAGGCATCAGATAGAAACACCTGGATGTCAGATGGAGTCGTTCGAAGCACAATGAGGCCTTAAGCTAACTGGACCGAAGGCTGGAGTTAATGTAAATCCTCAGAAACCTTCACTTATCTCAAACCAACGTGCAGCAGGAGGAGGAGCCGTTTGCTGAACTCTGCTCTCGCTTGAGCAAAGACTGAAACTTTGACTTTCTTCTGTCAGGCATTACTTCTTTTCTTGATGCTGGATTTTCCATTTAGACCGAAACATGCAGTCATGAGACATTTGCAGGAG